AGTGAAAGTGTTAATTCTCAATATATGTACTTACACACAAGTAATGTTACTATTGAGGAAGCGGTAATATTCCTCTGATCATTATCAAGTGTAGTGACCATATTGACAGTCTCCAGAGGGGGTCTGTGATGTACATTCTATTTAAGAGTTTTCTTGTGTGAAGGAAAGTTTCTGACAGTGATATTTAATAGATATTTATGAATATCTAAAGTATTTAAACTTTTAAATAAAAAGAAACTAGAAAAGTAACTATTATTTGTGCCTTACATTTCTAAGTTTGGAACCATAACCTCTCATTCTATGAAGTGTGTTGTTACAGAGTGCACTAACCTGGCTAAAGATTAAGATTCGAACCGTAACAATTACCTAAGTAATAGCTTTTATATCCTTTTACTCGTGTGCGTGTTAATTGCTGTACCATATTGTATTACTTCTACTACTACAACTTATGTCACTACTACTGCTACTACTTCCACTAGTATTGCACCTCACTCTGAGCCTATATATACCCTCTGTGTCCATGTACTGTTTGTAACGGCTTGACAAAGCTCTTGGAGAGCGAAACGTTGCCACAATAAAATGTCACATTAGTTGCACTTGTGTTCTTTTACTTTACATATTATCGGTAATTCTACCAACATTATTACACTTACACGGTTCACGTATTCCGGCATGTGATACGGTCAAGTTTCTGCGTCTGCTCTTTGGTCGCTAGCTGACGTGGAGACCTCACATTTCTTCTTTAAACACAACTCTCCATTGTCGGCTAAATCTCCTTAACGTTCTTGCACATCGTTCGTGGGGAGCAGATCATCGCACTCTCCTCTATTTGCATTCCACCCTAGTCTTGTCCAAGTTAGATTATGGTGACCATATCTATTCTGCAGCCTCTCCCACAACTCTAAGTTAGATCCCATTCATCACCAAGGTCTCCGTTTGTGCCTTGTTGCCTTTCGTTCATCCCCTGTTGAGAGCCTCTATGCAGAACCGAATATTCCATCCTTGTCCAATCGCCGTGATGCTCATTGCCTTCACTATTGTGTTCGATCTCATTACCTCCACAATCCTTCCGTATATAGGATAGTCGCTGATGTTAATAGATGTTCTTCGTTTGTTCGTCGCCCATGTTTACTCCGTCCCTTTTCTCTCCACCTACATTCGCTCTTGTCTTCTCTTCAGTTACCACCTTTCTATGTTCATGTAGCATCTCACTTTTCCCTGCCCCATTGGGAAGTTCCAGCTGTTCGTGTCTGTTCTTTCCCACTGCCATGCGCAAAAGTTCAACTACCTACGGTGGCCTCCCGCTCTCTCTTGACCACTTCTGCTCTCATTCTCGTGCCATCACAGTGTACGCTGATGGTTCTAAGTCTTCTGATGGCATCGGATTCACAGCAGTGTTTCCGGGGAGTGTTTTGCGAGGGCATTTATTATCCTCGGCTAGCATTTTTATGGCTGAATTGTATACCATTCTTTTAGCACTTACCTGTATTGCATCTATGCCTGTCACCATTTGTGATCGTTTCAGACACCCTTAGTGCTTTACAGGCTATACAAAAATTTCATACACCTCGCCCCCTAGTTCTTCGTATCCAACTTTGGTTATGCCGTATCTCTAGCAAACACAGATATTGTTTTTGTTGGGTCCCCGGTTATGTTGACGTACAGGACAACGAATAGGCAGACACTGCTGCGCAGTCAGCAGTACGTGACCTCCCAGTTTCATATGGAGGTGTTCCATTCATGGACTATTTTACTGTGCTTGCTACCCACGTTTATATCTGTTGGCAACAACATTGGTCTGATCTGTTCTATAACAAATTTCATTCTATTAAACCGAGTATAGGTTTCTGGCCGTCTAGTCATCACTGTCGAGGTTGGGAGACTACTCTCTCCCGTCTTCGCATTGGCCACACTGGTCTTATTCACGGGAATCTCGTGGAGAGACGCCCTGTTCCTCTGTGAGAATTGTCAGGTTCCAGTATCTGTTAGCCACATTCTGTTGGACTACTCACTCTAGCAGCAAGCACACAGAATTTACCTCCAACGTCGTCTCCGCTCTGCTGCCCTTTCTTTCTGATGGACCCTCCTTCAATCCAGACTCTCTCATTGACTTTTGACAGCAACTGATTTACTACACAAGCTCCGATGACGATGCCTCTAGCACTCTCCTCAATCATTTCTACCTTAATCTCTAGCTACCCTCTACCCCTGCTCTATTAACTGCCCTGCTGCACTCCATATCCTAATAATCATCCCTCTCCCTCTTGCTACCCGTTACCCCTGCATCCTTCCCTGCCCTGCTGTGCTGCATAACCCTTGTGGTTTGGCCCTTCTTTTTTTGATTATAATAATAATAGCGCCACATATTACATAAGTCCAGGGCAGTGGTGCCCTGGACTTATGTAATCTCATGGCTGCCTCTCATACTGTCTGATATCTTACTCAATATAAGTACTGAAGGTACTTCCTGACACTTTGTAGTATATAACTACTGAAGGTACTTATAATACAAGCTGTTGACTCCTTACTGTACTGTATACCCTTAGTGGACCAACATCCTTCCTGGTACCTTAGTATAAATACCTACTGAAGATACATACTACCTGGCACCGTAGTGTATATAACTACTTGAACAACATACTACCTGGCACTATAGTGTATATAATTACTTGAACAGCATAGTACCTGGCAACATAATGTACATAACTACTTGAACAACATACTACCTGGCATCATAGTGTATGTAATTACTTGTACAACGTACTACCTGGCACCGTAGTGTATATAATTGAACAACATACTACCTGGCAACATACAGTTCATAAGTACTGAGGGTAAATATTTCCAGGTTTCATAGTGCATACAACTATTTAAGGTACATAATACCTTAGTGTATTCTAAGGTACATAATACTTTAGTACGTTGAGGCCAGTGATCACGTGTAGTCATACCTGTCCTAAACTGTCTGAGATTAGCGTTGGGTGTTACCAAGCACCATGGCTTTTTGTAGTGTTTTAGAATCTCAGGTTAAAGTGTTGAAGTAGATTCTACTTCAGTAGGAAAAAAGGAGGCTGAAGCTTCGTCTAGATGGGTTTGGGAGTGAATGTGAGATGATGGTAACTGGTGAGGAGGAAAAAGTTACCAGCAGTGATTTGGAGAGTGGCAGGTGCTTTAAGTGGAAAGTGATGCACAATTCAGGAAGAAGGATAATAAGGAAGGTTAATAGAGAAGATGTGAAGAGAGGAAATCGATTCTCTGTTCTCCAGGACGAGTGTACTTCAGTGGTTATTGAGATTAAAGGTACCAATGACTCCCCTGCTTATCAAGGTAAGAATATTCTGATTGTGGGAGATTCTCAGGTAAGATATATGGACAGTGCTTTTTGTAACATATAAAAAGGTCAGACAAAGGGTGTGTCTCCCAGGAGCTGGTGATGGTGACAGAGTCAGCAGGTTGGATAATATTATATCAGGCAATGGGAACAAGCCCATTATGTCTTAGTGTTGGTGGAAATGACATCGGAAATGGCAGGAGACAGGAGCTGCTGGAAAAATATAGGTCAGCCATAGATGTATTCAGGTCTAAGGGAGGGATCCCAATTATATGTAACAACTTGCCTAGAAGGGGAGTGGGTAATGAATGGATGTCTTGCGCAATTGGTATAAATTGCTGGCTAGACAGGTACTGCAAGGAACTTGCAATCCCATTGAATGATAACTGGAACATATTCTATAGAAAACGTGATCTGTATGCAAAGGATGGGGTTCATCTCTCCGGGCTGGAGCGGTTGCATTAGCCAATTCGATTGAAGGGGTTATTGGTGACATGTCTAGGACTTTAAACTGATAGATTACCGAGGTATGGGTGACTGTGGGAAACAATCAGGCTGCAGCACTAGGGTTGAAAAACAGCAGATATAACCAGGATATGTTTAAAAGACAATATTAAAAATAAAGTTGCTAGTAAAGGCAAAGGAATTGATCAACAAACAAAGATAGATAGTAGAGGGCAACGAGTGACTAGCTCCCTTAAGGTTTACTATACAAATAGTAGGAGTCTAAGAAATAGATGAGCTAAGATTACTTGCAAGTGCAGGTAATATAGATATTATTGCTATAACAGAGACCTGGTTCAACTTGAAAGAAAGAGAAATGCCTTCTGAATGCAACATACAGGGTTATAAACTGTTTCATACTGATAGGGTCAACAGGAAGGGTGGTGGAGTGGAGATGTATGTTAGAGATAATTTAAATTGTTGTATTAGACATAACATTAGAAACATCGGACACAGAATCTGTTTGGCTACAGTTTCTCGAGGGTCGTGAAAAGTTAATTTTGGGTGTAATTTATAGGCTCCCAAACCTTGATAGAGAGTGCAGTAAACTGCTATGGGACAAAATTCATAAGGCATCTGGATATGAATCATTGCCATTTGGTACATGGTATACTGACTTCATGGTAAACTCATATACTGGTTATGCATGGTAATCTCGTATAACTGTAAACCTGCAACTTGGTAATCCCATATCATGATATATTCATCTCATTGTAAACGCACCTCTTTTTAAACTAACATAAAGGTAAACTATTATATTAGTTTGTTCACTATATGGTAAACTTATTTTTTAATCTAACATTTATGTTATCCCACTTTATAAATTCAACTAATGATGAGCTAACATTACTATTAGCGCACTTCATTGTAAACTCACTTCATGGTAAATTAGCATCACTATTAGCGCACTTCGTGGTAAACTCACCTCATGGTAAACTAGCATCACTGTTAGCGCACTTCATGGTAAACTCACCTTATGGTAAACTAGCATCACTGTTAGCGCACTTCATGGTAAACTCACCTTATGGTAAACTAGCATCACTATTAGCGCACTTCATGGTAAACTCACTTCATGATTAACTAGCATCACTATTAGCGCACTTCATGGTAAACTCACCTTATGGTAAACTAGCATCACTATTAGCGCACTTCATGGTAAACTCACCTCATGGTACACTTCCGTACCATACACAGCACGATCCACCCCCATACAGGTTGCATCACAACTGCAACAATGTACACAGAATGTAAGTATCAGATTCTTGACTTTTTTATTGGATTATTACAAGGTTTTGTTAGGCACAGTCAGGGTTAAAGTGACAAGCAGGACTTAAGTAGATCATGCCTGAGGTCATAATTAGGTCACCAGTAGTGAGAAAGACACTGCTTGCTTTGTAACCTTTATTACGATGTTTCATCCAGGACTGCACTTTCTCTAATATACAAAAGCACATATACACGGTTTTATAAGGTCAGCGAGCACCCTGAGGTCATGCTTGGAAGAGGTCACAAGTAAGGTAACAAGTGAGATCATGGGGTAACTGATTACTCATACAATATGTATAAGTTTGAGCGTGAGGATACGTCCGTTGGTAATAATTTTTATATAAATCATGGAATTCTTGTTCCATTCTATAATATCAGCTCAGTAAATAACAAAAAAGGCACAATACCGTGACTGGAACGATACACAAATAACCCGCACATAAAAGAGAGAAGCTTACGGCGACGCTTCGGTCCGACTTGGACCATTTACAAAGTCACACTAACCAGAAGTGGAGCAGGACGGCTATATATAGACAGGAAGAGGTGGTGGAGGTAGTAGTAGTAGTAGAGGAAGTGGTAGTAATGGGGAATAAGGAGGAGGAGCCAGTCAAATACAAAGAAAGGGGAGCACTGCAAGGGAGCTAGGTGACCACAGAGGGAGAGCAAGTGCACAGAGGTGCGTGAAAGGGGAAGTGGTGAAATAAATAAAGAAGGAACAGAAACACGAGACAGAAGGAAAAAAAGACAACCCAGAGGAGAAAAAGGAAAGTGGAAAGGGGAAGAGGGAGAAGAAGAAAGAAAAAGAAAAAGAAAAAAATGAGGAGTCAGGTTAAGTCACGGGTGTTCTGAAGTTTGGAGCATTTTACAATGTAGTGGGAGAGGAAGGCATCTACAGAGACGAAGCCAGGACTAAGATTCATACAAGGAAAGTTGTGCATTAGAGAGGATTCAACTAGACGGCGACTGTTCGAGTTGGAAGTAGGGAAGACAGTTTTAGCAGAAGACCAGTCAATAGGATGGCTATGATCTCTGACGTGACAGAAAAGAGCATTGTTAGTGTCGGCAAGCCTAACACTATTTTTGTGCTCCCTAAGTCTGTCAGAAAGAGATCGACCAGTTTCTCTGAAGTATTGAAGAGAACAGGAGGAACAAGAAAGAGTAGACACCAGGAACATCTGTAGAGGGAGGAGAGGTATGAATGAGATTAGTGCGAAGAGTGTTAGTCTGGTGGAAGGTGAGCTTGATGTCTAAGGGACAGAGAATTGTTGAGATTAGAAATACCGGAAATGTAGGGAAGGCAGAGGACAGAAGAGTTCCCAGGAGTAGAGAGTTTGGGAGAGAAGAAATTACGTTTAGCACGTGGTGAGAGGGCAGTCTATGAATTGGGAAGGGTAGCCAAGACGGGAAAACGAATCTTGCCCCTTCCATTAAGTTTAAAGCTGAATGGGAATCTAATTCCTTGTTTCCTTTCCTTGATGTCCATGTCCACCGCTCAGATACAGGTTTTTCCTTTTCCGTTTACCAAAAACCTATGCACAGTGGCATGTACATTCACTATTTTTCCTATCATGCTTCCCCTGTCAAGAAAAGTGTTCTTATCTCCATCTTTCTCCGTGCCCTCCGCATCAGTGATCCTCAGTTCCTTCCAGCAGAAATTTCCACTCTTCATAATTCGTTTTCCCGTCTTGGCTACCCTTCCCATTTCATAGACTCTGCCCTCTCACGTGCTAAACGTAATTTCTTCTCTCCCAAACTCTCTACTCCTGGGAACTCTTCTGTCCTCTGCCTTCCCTACATTTCCGGTCTTTCTAATCTCAACAATTCTCTCCGTCCCTTAGACATCAAGCTCACCTTCCGCCCGACTAACACTCTTCGCACTAATCTCGTTCATACCTCTCCTCCCTCTACAGATGTTCCTGGTATCTACTCTATTTCTTGCTCCTCCTGTCCTCTTCAATACTTCGGAGAAACTGGTCGATCTCTTTCTGACAGACTTAGGGAGCACAAAAATAGTGTTAGGCTTGCCGACACTAACAATGCTCTTTTCTGTCACGTCAGAGATCATAGCCATTCTATTGACTGGTCTTCTGCTAAAACTGTCTTCCCTACTTCCAACTTGAACAGTCGCCGTCTAATTGAATCCTCTCTAATACACAACTTTCCTTGTATGAACCTTAGCCCTGGCTTCGTCTCTGTAGATGCCTTCCTCTCCCACTACATTGTAAAATGTTCCAAACTTCAGAACATCCGTGACTTAACCTGACTCCTCATTTTTTCTTTTTCTTTTTCTTCTTCTCCCTCTTCCCCTTTCCACTTTCCTTTTTCTCCTCTGGGTTGTCTTTCTTCCTTCTGTCTCGTGTTTCTGTTCCTTCATTATTTATTTCACCACTTCCCCTTTCACTCACCTCTGTGCACTTGCTCTCCCTCCGTGGGCACCTAGCTTCCTTGCAGTGCTCCCCTTTATATTTGACTGGCTCCTCCTCTTTATTCCCCACTACTACCACTTCCTCTACTACTACTACTACTACTACTACTACTACTTCCACCACCTCTTCCTGCCTATATATACCCGTCCTGCTCCACTTCTGGTTAGTGTGACTTTGTAAATGGTCCAAGTCGGACCGAAACGTCGTCGTAAGCTTCTCTTTTATGTGCGGGTTATTTGTATATTAGCTCAGCGTTTAATTACTGCTTCAAGAATCGTACTTCTGGTTTAACCTTCCTCTCAACATAACAGTTGTGCTGCTCTGTAATCCACCATGTATTTGAGCAGATAAGTACATAGGACTATAAAAATAGAGGAACACTGCAGCAGGCCTACCAGCCCATATTAGGCAGGACTCTCTCAAACCCAAACCCACTAACAAAAATTACTCATAACGAGACATGCATTGCTGGGTTTACCCCTCCTGTAGGCATGTATTCCTGCAGGCGAGTCTGAAGGCAACCTTCTGTCACCCATGTTTGCTTTATCACATCTTCTACATAGACATAATAGTAAGACAATTCCTTGAATGGAACAATGCACAGATAACTCGCTCATAGGAGACAAAGTTATGACAACGTTTCTGTCCGACTTGTACCATTAATTAGTCGGACAGAAACGTTGTTATAAGTTTGTCTCCTGTGTGTGGGTTATTAGTGCATTCCACAAAGAATTGTGTATTAGCGGTACTCTTCGGTCAATATGCTCCGCTGATGTTTCTTAAGGTTATTCTGGTAAATACAGCAATGTCAATGTTACGTTTTGGAGTATGCTGGTGACTGCAAATTGTTATGTGAGGAACACATGACGATTAATATTAGCTGAATTCCCATGAAGTGAAGACTGAGTAAGGTCATATTTGCAGGAGGACATAAAGTGAAGTGGGAACTTAAGAGCGGTGAAATCGTCCACGATGATTTTCTTTTTTTCATCTAGAAATTCTTCCTTACAAATCTTGAGAGCATGGAGGAAAAAAATACTAATGACTCCATGTTTAATCTTAGAGTCGTGGTGTGAAAAAGTGTCAAATCATCTTTATTGGTGGAATTATTTTTTAAAGACCTTGCATTCGAGTTTCTCTGATGAGGACGTCAAGACAGTGAAACAAGTTATCCTTTTTGTCCTCCAGAGAAAACTGAATTATGGGTTCCCTTTAGCCGAGTGTGTCCTTAAACTAAATATTAAAGTGTCTGGGGGAGAATCATGACGTTATTGATTTATATCAAGCGTGTGATAATGTGTGCGATGATTATCTTGAGGCAATCGCTCTCTAGGCGTTTGAGGTAAAGGTGGCCAAAACAACGCTTAGGGGGTAAATATATTACAATTACATATTTCTGTCTATAGGAGAAGGCGAAGTGGAACCTAACAATTAACTCTGTGAGATTCAAAAAGTCTTGTTTAGGGGGAGGAAGTGGTAGATTCTGAGGAATATAATTACGAAAAACCCGGAGACTATTCTCCGAAATAGACGTATCCTTCTGCCCTCTTAGACGACTCTGCTGTAGCGGCAGGAGTTGGAATTGCAGAGAAAGAGAATAACCTGATCTATTGGAACACGAGTGAAGGAGGTGACGCTAAGCCTGGCGAGTTTTTTTTATTTTTTTTTTATTTCCTATGATGGTGTGGTTTAGTCAGCAGATGGCGGAGACGGGAGTTGCTGAGAACACCTAACAATTTGAAAAGGTATCTGGTAAGGCACTGGAAAACCTGGAAGTGACGGATTGAAGAGGAATACATTGTTTATGAACCTTGGGGACTCTTTAGATATATGCTGGTTTAGGTTTAGTAGGCAGAAGAAAATATATCTGCTTTGTTTGGTGCGGTTGAGAATCTTCATGGCACCTTGAAGACAGGATGTGGTGCTCTTAGCCAAAGTATGAGGTGTTGTAGTTTCTTAGTTGGCTTGATCATTGAGAAGTATTTTTCCACAATAGTCGTTTATTTAGAGGATAACTACACTTCACTTTTATCAGCGATGGAAGCTCTGATGCCTGAATTTTCTGTCCAAACCTTCAAGGGTTTTGATATGACTCTTAAGTAGACAAGGTATGGGGGGGTCTCTTGTGGGGTGTAAGAGATGATAACTTGCATGTGCCCTTTTATAAACTTAAATTGTATGAAACGATACATACAATGTATAACTCTAGCTCTATAGAAAGCCCAAGAGATATGCCGAAGCCATTGAACATCTGACAAAAATTCTGCCGTTTGAAAGATAGTGGAGGTGAAATTATTCTTCATAGCGACAGATACCTTGCCAAAGTGATTCTTTTTCATAACTGTACCATCTGTGAAACCATAACATCTCATACTTTGCCTAGGGGGACCAAGCCAAGGATGGAAGAATATTCTTAACTGTACCAAAAATGGGAAGCTCTGGTACCCTCCTCTTATTAACACCAAACACGCATATATCTGTGGACGACCTAAGACACAGAAACCGTCATATCCGGGACTGGCAGTGCTTTCACC